TAATTCGATAATGATTAAGTTCTTTCATGTCCATTGCATATGGAGCTGGAAGAGTCATTGTTGACAATTCTCTTCGCATAGTGCTAATAATGGACTAGATCAAAATGACTCAATTAAATTCTAGTGCTTTTTCTATTAGTGAAGTTTTTAGAAAAAAATATATCAAACGACGCAACGCACCTTGGGTCGCTATGGAAACAGCCACCTTGTATAATTACAAAGGTAAGGTCTGCGTACAACTGACCCCCCAGACCCCAACTTGTTGGGAATATACTGGGTATGTTGATAATGATTAAGTTCTTTCATCTAAAGAGTTATAAATTTTGTTCTGGAAGTTGCACATTATGAACATGGTGCTCCAAAACATGTTACCTTCATCAATGCGGTCATGTTTTGTCAAAATATTTTTTACTTTTAATGGTAGTAGTATTTCCCAAGATAAAGACAGAATAACAATTAAGATATATTTTCACATCTAATAAAAACTTGTACTCAACAGACTGCATTCAAGAGAAAAGGAGCAAAGAGAATCTACCTCTTCCATACTTCTGGACCACAGCGATTTCTTCTGAAGGTTTTTAACTAACTTCCTCTGGTTTTTCAATTCGGCTGCCAATTTGTTCAGGCTGTTGTCGCGGTCTCCTGTGACAAGATAAATCCAAAACAGAATAAATTGGGAACTCATTCAATTACATTACATATGCACCCGAAGATATCAAATTTAAAACAATCTGTTCAGAAACAAATGTCTAAACATAAAGAACTATGATTCCACTGTTTTGGCTCACATTTAGTAGACTTTTTGAAAACTCATAAAAATAAAATCAATAACTGAGCCAAGAAAGAAGAAAATGTATTACGGCATAGATTCGCAACTATCCTGAACTTGAAATAGTAGACATATTAATATTCATGAAACAACAAAAATTCAATAGAAAGTTACGACTGTCTGAAGTAAGTTAATTAATATAACTTAAACTACCAACAAGTTAAGAAAACGCCTACTTCTATTGGCCCATCCGTGTCCATAAGATTTTATTACTACCATGAATATGCCTGTCTAAAAGTGTTTTTTCCTACACCTGCTTGTCTAAGCCGTGTCAACCTTCAATTTTATGTAACCATAAAAAAAGGAAAAAAAAAAAACAAACAAAAAAAATTAAATCCTACTTTGTTAGAAGTTATGTTTGGGGATGAGTTCTACGAAAGCCCATTTATGACCTTACACGAACTCGTATCACTCATGTTCCTACTGTTATGTCATGTGCTAAGTTATTGTGTATGGGGATGCAAACAAGTGCAAATGTAACAAGTTCACATAAATAATCACCTCTTTGAGAAGCATTATATCTAAGTTCCTCCAGGCGCTTAAGCTGATAGTCTTGCTCAAATCTGTCCAGTGCATGCAGCTCCCGGTATAGCTCCTGAAGAAAAAATATTTCCAGTATTTTATTCTTATATTTTTTTCCTTGGAAGCTTTCAAAAGGGAAACAGTAAACCAACGACACAATAGAATACTCATGGCAATAAACACTGAGATATGCAGTGTTTAGTGGACATTGACCAAAGATATTAGAATTGTTCGAAACAAGGCTCATAATCCCTATTCAAGTGTACAATGTTCTAATAAACATATGTTTTCGATATTGGAAGACATATACATTAAGATAATGAAACAATGACATGAGCTCAAAGAAGTAATACTAACAGCTGTTAGATGAACTGATGTAATCAGTTGCAGCATAAGTGATTCTGCTGTTTCCCTCAACTGCTTTTGAGGTGTTCGATCTCTGTTACGTCTGGAAACATAAATGGCAGCAAAAAACAATGACAAACCAAAACTACCATCAAACATAATAAACAATGATAAAAAAAATTGCATAAAACTTCAATTAGTTACTTCTCGAAGAAGCGGTCCAAGTCATGCCACTGAGGATCTTTACATCGATTCCCAAAGCGTACAACTTCGTCTGAGAAAACTTTCAATTCTTCTCTGCATTATGGGAAAAAAAAAAGAAACGATCATTGTAAAAAACTACATAAAGTGAAATCAATTTCTACAGTGACAAACCGTTTGTCAGATGCCACTATTCTTAAAAGTTCATCCATGTCATTAGATATCAACTTTTGAACACCCTCAGCAGGAAACACCACTTCTTTCAGTCTCCGTATGCTTTTGTCTGAAAGCGACTCCATAAGATTAGATCCTTTAACAATTGTATTGGCAACCTCAAACGATAAAATGGAAAGTTCACTGCTTTTGGCTGTTGTTCGGGGAATAAATCCACCCACACTGATCCCAAGTGTGTCCAAAACGCCTGCTGCCTTTCCAAGTCCAGCACTGCCGGCTCTGGTTAGACGAGCACTCACTTCTAAAACCTATACAAAATTTCCACCTATAAGTTGTTCAAGTGATTAAAATATATATATATATATTTTTTCCGAATCTATACAAACAGTACACTCCCAGATACACTCAGAGGACTCATATATGAAGGATTTGTCAAATGCTTAGCACTCTTACTAGTATACATTCAGTAATTTCAAAAGTAATGCTGACAAATTATCAAAATGTAACAAGCAATTTAGCATGATCAATCTACTACCCTCTTCGAGTCATCAACCAATGTTCATTGGATTAAAGGGCATATGTACAAAAACCACCAAAAATTTGATATCCTATTCTATATCTACCTTCTTCAGCATGCACATGAGGTCCTTGTCTAAACATACCTCATTACGCAAAACAAAACTTTTGGACAAGTCCTCAGTGCTTAAACTAAGATCTTTGTCATTTCTACGCATTACAATTTAAAGTAGTTCTTTAATTACCTGAAACCACATGACAGTCTTGTATCAACACTTAGTGTGTTTGTATACAAATAATCTCAATCCATACTCAAAATCTAACTCAACTTTAACTCCATCCCACTATCTTTAATATTATCAATATAATTAAATAATACAAACCATCATTCTTACTCATCACATCATCTTTAATTCACTATTCATCCACTCACATAACTTTAACTAACTATCACTTCACATCATTTTTCTCCTACTTTTACTTCAAATCAACTTTAATTATTTTATTTTAAATATTATTTTAACACAAAATCAAACTCACACTGACAACTAACAATCCAACTTTTTCTGGTTAATCGAAAAAAAACTCATTTTGAGCGGAATTATTTGTAAACAAGCACCAAAAAATGAGCAAGCACACAAATTTCTGTACAAACATGTGCAGAATGCCAAATTTAAGAATTAAAGAATCATAATATACAGAACAAATTATGTACTTGCCTTAGTGGCCCTAAATGATCTGGATTTCTGGTACCAACTTCTCTGGTACTGAGGTATCCCATCATAGAACTCATCAACCGTGGATGCTATCGGATTCTCAATCGACTGAGTTACGGCTGTTGGGGCCACCGAAATCTCATTACTGCAATTATCGTTCTGCAAATGATTGTCTTCCTGATGAGCCGTAAATCTGGCAGCAGCATAAGGATTTGGTTTTGATGACTGCTTCGAAAATCGAGCACCCATCTTTGCCTTTTTTTCTGATCTTTATGTTTATTACAACAACAACAACAACAACAACAACAACAACAACAATAACAACAACAACAACAAACAAAACCTACCCTTTTTTTTTTTCAAACACAAACACAACATCCCATGAAACCTAACATCAACAAACAAAATACACAGCTTCCAAATAAAAAACGTAACAGAAAAGGCGCTACTAATCACGAATGAAATTGAGAATTGATGAGAGTATGGTGATGGGCTTACCGATTACTGGCTTGGTAATTGGTAGTTGAGACGTAGAAAAACAGAGAGAAAATTGCCCATTAAGTCTAACGCCCGCCAAAGGATTGTTCATTATTTTTTATCATTAATCAAGAAAAAGACGGCTTTTTCTTGTTCCCATTACTGTTTGAATAATGGCTAGTGCTGGAAAAACAATCGTATTAATATTGTACTAAAAAAGGTGTAGCAGACTTGCAGAAACAATTTTTTTATCCGTTGCAGGATTCTCCTATCTTTATACTAGTTTTGATTCCGGCTGTACCCAAATTCGCATTTATTTATTTGTACGTTAATAATTATAATTATTTCCTATATTTTGTAATAATATTTTTAAGTTATTTTCGGTGTAATCTATCTATATATATAAAAAAAGGTTGATGGAAAAATCCGAATTAGAAAGTTTAAATAATTTTGTTGACCTTTTGACTTTCTATAAGTGGATCTTTGTTTGAAATCAGTTTTTTTTTTTTTTT